ATGTGAGTGTGTCTGTGAGTGTGTACATATGTGAGTGCGTACATATGTGAGTGCGTACATATGTGAGTGTATATATGTGAGTGTGTACATATGTGAGTGTGTACATATGTGAGTGCGTACATATGTGAGTGCGTACGTATGTGAGTGTGTACATATGTGAGTGTGTACATATGTGAGTGTGTATCTGAGTGTGTACATATGTGAGTGTGTACATATGTGAGTGCGTACATATGTGAGTGTATATATGTGAGTGTGTATGTGAGTGTGTACATATGTGAGTGCGTACATATGTGAGTGTATATATGTGAGTGTGTACATATGTGAGTGTGTACATATGTGAGTGTGTACATATGTGAGTGTGTACATATGTGAGTGTGTACATATGTGAGTGTATATATGTGAGTGTGTACATATGTGAGTGTGTACATATGTGAGTGCGTACATATGTGAGTGCGTACATATGTGAGTGTATATATGTGATGTGTACATATGTGAGTGTGTACATATGTGAGTGCGTACATATGTAGTGCGTACGTATGTGAGTGTGTACATATGTGAGTGTGTACATATGTGAGTGTGTATCTGAGTGTGTACATATGTGAGTGTGTACATATGTGAGTGCGTACATATGTGAGTGTATATATGTGAGTGTGTATGTGAGTGTGTACATATGTGAGTGCGTACATATGTGAGTGTATATATGTGAGTGTATATGTGAGTGCGTACATATGTGAGTGTGTATATATGTGAGTGTGTACATATGTGAGTGTGTATGTGAGTGCGTACATATGTGAGTGCGTACATATGTGAGTGCGTACATATGTGAGTGTGTACATATATGAGTGCGTACATATGTGAGTGTGTACATATGTGGGTGTGTACATATGTGAGTGTATATATGTGAGTGTGTATGTGGGTGTGTACATATGTGAGTGTATATATGTGAGTGTGTATGTGAGTGCGTACATATGTGAGTGTGTATATATGTGAGTGTGTACATATGTGAGTGTGTATGTGAGTGCGTACATATGTGAGTGTGTATATATGTGAGTGTATATATGTGAGTGTGTTTATATGTGAGTGTGTACATATGTGAGTGTATATATGTGAGTGTGTATATATGTGAGTTTGTGCGCAGACAATTCATTCTTTAAAGAAGACATATTACTCAAATATCAGGCGCAAACATGTGACTCCGCCCCTTCTGTTTAAAAGCTCCTTTAAAGCAGCTCTTGTTGCCAGTCTGTGCATGTCCTCGCACCAAAGTACATCTGTGACATGTTAGTGACATATGAGCACTCGGACTGGCCTCCTGCTGGGACTCTGAGGAGAACAGAGACAGTCTTCCTGAAAATGTGAGACAGACTCTGACAATGTTATAATCCAGGTTAGAAACAAATCTGTTTCGATGCAACAACTGTAGGATTGTATCTTTTTAATGCACTGGGACTATTTATTATTTTGATGTTGCCCTTTAAGTTTCCTTGCGTTTGAACATTGCTATACAAATAAACTTGTGATGCCATAGTCCTGTATGATGTCATTGTACCACTATGACATCACTATGACATCACACATAGAGCGATTTTCTGCCTTCAAAACAAAAGTTTTGCTCAATGATGTTCTTTACAATCACATGTCCATGTTTGCAGCGCCCTCTGGTGGCAGCATAGGGAGTTACAGTGAGCTCTGACTGCAGACGCTGCTCCCTCTCACTTGTTAGACCATGTATCTTCTGATATTAATTCACATTTTATTTAAATTTCAATGTATTTTTTGTAAAGCCCTAAATGTAGCTATCAAGGAGGACTTAATAACATTGTCACCAAAACAAATCAGAGAATCAAACAGTTCACAGGAAATGCAATGATAAAAACACTTGATCTGAGCTGATCTTTTTTCTATTGACACATTACATTTATTTGGACCTGAGTTTGGAAATCCATCCATCCATCCATCCATTTTCTTCCCCTTAATCCATTTCTGGGTCGGGGGGGTGGCAGTTAGAGCTGCACCCAGTACACTCAGCACCAGCCCCTCACTGGAAATCCTTCTTTTTTAATTAAACCACAATTGGGCATAATATCAAGAAAGCTCAAGGCTCCTGTGGACTCACCACCTGCAGGAGGATCAGTGAGGGGCCTGTGCAGGTTTGACTGCCACCCCCGACCCAGAAATGGAATAAGGGGAAGAAAATGGATGGATCAAGAAAGAGATGTATTGGAAGACTGAGAGTTAAATATGAATTGGACTAAATTAAAGTAGCAATATGTAAGATTTTCATGTCAAGTCATCATTAAAGGGCCCTAATCTGTCAAAGGACATTAAAGTGATTGTCTGGAGTTTGTCAGAAAGAGACAGAGAAGTACATGATTTGAAAAAAACGACCCAAGCTCCTCCCCCTTTTCCTTTCTGATTGGTCTACGCCTACGTTTCCGTAACACACTTTTCAATGTTAATCAGAGA